GGGGTGGGGGCGGGCAGCCGAGGGGCCGGGAGCAGCGGGCGGCCGCCGGCCCTTCTCCGCAGCGCGGGTCCCGCTCCTCGTCCCTCGTCCGGGCCGCTCCCGCGCTCCCCGCCCCTTGGCGGCGGGATGCGGGCGCCGGGCCTGGGCGGGGGCCGGGGGCCGAGGCCTGCGTGGCGGGGGCCCAGGCGGGCGGCCGCTCAGGGCCCGGGACCGAGGGCGAGAGCGCGCCCCTCCCGGCGCCGCGGCTGGGGGAGGCGGGAGGCGGGCGGGGGAGTCGGGGAGGCTCGGAGCCGCGCGGCGGGCGGGCGAGGGAGGGGGCAGCGGGGAGCCCCCCGCCCCCCGAAGGAGGAGTCTGGCTCCCACTTGCTGCCTCGGACGCGCGGCTAGGCGGCCGCCGCCGGAGAAGCCCCCGCCCCTGCTCGCTCTCCTCCCCGGAGCCGGGCCCCTGCCTCCCTCCGTGCGCGCTGCTGCTCGCGGCCGCCGCGGCCGCCGAAGAGGAGCCCGGGGCCAGGTAGGGCCGCGTGGGGGCGGGGCGGGGCGCGGGCCGGGCGCGCGGGCGGGAGGCGGCGGGGGCGCGGCCGGGACCCTCTCCGGGCGCCGGGTGACGCCAGCGGCGCGGCGCAGGGGCGCCCGCAAAGTTAGTTTGGCTGCCTCCGGCTGGTGCCGGTGCCCGGCCGCGCATCCCCGCTGTCCTGCCCGCCGAGCGGGGGCTGCGGGAGGGGCTCGGCCGGGCGCTGGACTCTGATTGGGGCCGAGGGGTCAGCGAAACTTTTCCCCAGCTCGCCGGTCACTGCTGGCTGCTGGCGGAGTAGTTGGCGGAGGCAGCGGGCTGGTGGGTGCAAGTGATGGTGATCATTGCGACCGTAGCGGCCCCTGGTCCTTGAGAGCCTACTGTGCGCAGCGAGGCTCCTGCTGGTACTTGGTGGCAAGGGAGGGGGCACTCATACTGGTCTGGTGGTCACTTTTGCTAGCTAGCAGTTGCTGGAAACTCCCTCCTCCCTTCCTCTCTCCATCGGTCTGTCCATTCATCCATCCATCCGCCGGTCCATCTATCCGCTCACTCATTCCACACATATTTATTGCTGTCTGCTGTGTGCCTGGCCCAGGGGATCAGTGGCTAACCAGACAGGCCCAGCCCTCACAGGCAATATTTCACGGAATGCCCCTGCTAAGGAGCAGTTCTGTCTCTTGTGTGTTTATTCTGGGACTTGTTACAGGAGAGGGAATTCATGCTCAGTCTCCCTCTGCCCTGGTGGAGACAGAGAGCCGATGTGTCCAGGCGACTGTGGCAGGCCAAGGCTGGCTTGGGGTGGTAAACTCATCTGCGTCCTCTCCCATCCCCCTTCCACTCTGCTGGGCGGCCTGAGGTGGGACCAGCAGGCCCCACCCTGGCACTGGCCCCCAGCTCTGCCCAGCTGACCTCTCTGGGATGTCTCTTCCCCTGTGCTGGGTCAGACCCGCCCCCAGTTCCCCTCCAGGAGCTTGGTTGCCTCCTCCTCCCATTTCCAAGGCCCCTGTGAAACTGCCCAGAGGAGAGCTTGTTAAGTGTCGAGCAATTATGAAATTAAACTGGGAACAAAAGTGGGCCGGTTGGTGAATGGTTTGAACTGGCTTGGCAGGACTTGAATAGTGATGGGAGACTTGTTAGCCGGGCTCTGCCACACTGGGAGCACAGGCAGGCACCACCAGTGTCAACACTCTGATCGGTCTTTGCAAAAAAATAAAAAATTAAAAATTAATAAATAAACCAATTTCCTGAATAACTTGTCCCATGGGCTAACAGGCTTTGGGGATGTCGGAGGCCAGCGGCTGATTGCCACATCCAAGTTGGAAGCCAGGCCTTGGTCCACAGGAGCCAAACACTAGGGGACCATTTGGGGAGGGATGGTGGACTTGGCGGGGCTGAGGCAGGCTTCTGGCGTGGAGAACACCCCAGGGCTTTAGACCAGCCGGTGGTGATCAGAAGCATTCTGGAGCCGGGCGCGGCGCACAGAGCACCGTGGGGTGAGAGCCCCGCATAATAAACTGCTTCATGACGCCTGGCTCCCTGCAAATTGGCTTTCTGAGTGGCAGCCCCACAACACTTGTAAAGTCTTTTTTCTCAAGATGGGCTTCTGTGAAATGGTTACATCTATTTGAGTGCTCACTCGGCAGAGGGACATTAATTGGATGATGGCTAGTCAAAAGGTGATAATGCAGTCAGAGGTTTCATCGTGTATTTGAGGTGCCTTCCTATTTATTTCTCAGCCCCAGGGGCCTTGGCAGACCTGAATTGAACTAGATCCCTGAAATGTCAACTTGGGCAGGTTCAGAGTCTCACCGTCATGGGGGCTGCCATAGCTCAGATGTAACTGCTGTGTGTGCACCCAGAATCGCTCACAGCCCCCAGCCGATGCCCTGTGGGCTGTGATCATGGACAGATAGACCAGCTCTACGTTTAGGTAAAAGATGGGGTTCAGGGGTCTTTCTGCTTGCACAGACAACATATAGAATAACCATTCAAGAAAAGCCTGCTTGTAAAAAATTTCCCAGCCCACCCGTGAGACTATTAAATCTTCATCCGATGCAAGTAATTTAAGTTCATTGGTTTTCCCTTGAACTTGCTACCTCCCCTTTCAGGCAGTGATGGCCCCTGGTGTGCCCACCTCACGCAGGGCACATGTCTCTGCAATTGTCTGAGGAGGTAAGGATGGCAGCAGGATTTCACTGAAGGGTAGCATTCAAGGAGAAAAATCAGCATTCTGGGTGCGGGTTCTGGACTGGCAGAAAAAAGAAAACCCTCCCCAAAGTGCAATCATCTTTTAATCTATCAAAATGGTATCATTCCTCCAATTTCAGGCCTGTGAACTGATCATGAATAGCGGGGCAGAGGAAATTAATCGGCCAGGCAAAGACTTTTAACAAGTAAATATTATGCACAGAAAAACATGCAATTAGTGGAGGTTAGTTAATGCCTTTCAAGTTGTGGCGAGCTGCAGTTAAGGGTGGAATTTCTGCGTTATCCCTGAATTGTCTGTCAAAATCTTTAATGTGACAATGTGACATGTCTCCTCCACCGCCCCTCCCTTCCCGGGAACAGAAAAAGGGTCTTTTCAAGCATCCCCTCTCTCCATTCTTCTCCCTGAGATCTCTCTGTTTGGCAATTGGTACCTTTGTCTGCCTGCACCTCTGGAGCAAGGAACCCTGGGGGAAGGGGCTGCCCAGGGACAGGAGCTAGGGATGGGTTCTTGGTCTTACTCTGTGCCCACAGGTCACCGTTCATAGCATCTCAGATGAGGGACTGGCTGCTTGTGCGGTCTTCCTTCCGGCGAAATCCCTTGCTCTCTAGGAAGGGACCGTCCGAACACGTGGGGGGCGGGCAGGGGCAGGGCAGGGTGAAGGGAGAGCTTTATGTAGCCACATCCCCTGTGTTTGGACTACGCTGGGTCACTCTGAGTGCAGTTTCCTGCAGCTGTGGTTCTTGTGGGGCGGATGTCCCTCAGAAGGAGACCACCAGCTGGCACCCTCTCCAGGCTGCCACTGAAATGTTTGACTTGGGTCTGAAGAAGTGGGGAAAAAAAATTAAAAAAAAAGGAAAAAGCAAAAGCGGCCCCAAGAGAAGGAAAAGAAGAGAGGCCCTTTTTTGGGGAGGTGGTGTTGGAGGGAAGGTATAAATAGTTCCTCGGTTAATTTGATTCATGGTGGCTCTCCCCAGTGACCTGGCCATTCTGCTGCCAAAACAAATGTTTTGCCTTATTTTGACTTTTTCCCCCTAATGAGACAAGACTTAGTTATGCTTTATTCCATTTAAAATATTTCTGGCCAACGAGGATGGTCCGATCGCATGGAAAAAAATCTTCAATTGAGAATCTGTGTTTCCTTTTTTCTTTAAAATTTTTTTTTCTTTATTGATTTGAGAGAGAGAGAGGAAAGGAGAGGGAGAGATAGAAGCATCGATGAGAAAGCATCGATTAGCCGCCTCCTGCATGCCCCCCAACCTGGGCATGTGCCCTGACCGGGAATCGAACCGGTGACCTCTCGGTGCGTGGGTCAATGCTCAACCGTCGAGCCACACTGGCCAGGCTGTGTGTTAATTTTGAACTCAGAGAGTGACTTGCCAGTTCTCTGCTCTCTCCATACCTTTCTGCGAATGACTCTTTGGGGGCTTTCTTGAATGTGAACTTGGCCAGCTGGATGTCAGAGCCTGGTCATACATCATAAGGAGGAGCAGCTACAAGAAGAGAGGTCTCCCCTCGGGTCGATGGTGCTACCCTGAGTTCAGCGCCAAGGACTGAATGGGCCCCTGTCTTCCGACCCAGCCCACACCTGGGGGCTCGTGTCTGCCGCACGTCTTCCCGTCTCGGTCCTCGCTTTCCAAGGAGGACGGGGGCTCGGTGTGGAGGCACATGGAACACGTGTGGCATCACCCATGCTAATTTCATCACTTTAAGAGGAGAACGGTGCCAGCTTTGCATTTTCAACACACCCGTCCGTTCTCCTTCGTTTCCTTCTTTCGCGTCTTGCAGCTGTGCCGTAGCCTGCAAGGCTGCAAACTGTATTGCACCGGCTGCCCGCCTGCCCGCACCCTGCCGTCCCCTTGTGCTGTGGGCACGTGGCAGGGCTCGTGGGATAGGCCGCGTCCCTCCTCCACCCTAGCTCCCTGCACAAAGGGGGTGGGTGGAAAATGGAGTTTTGCTTTTATAACTTTGTCATTCAGACACATGAGTTAATTGATCATACTTGGGAGGTTTAATCTTTAATTGCAAATTCCCGCATGATCACAAAAAATACACTTAAATTGATCATAAAAATGGCAAAACCTCAGCCTCAGACATAAGTGTAGAATTACCATAGTGCCGATTTGATTATGCTCGGTGACATCTGTTTAATAGATTTCCATGAGAACTGTAAATCCACGTTCACTTTCTTTGCAAATTGTATTTGAATGCCGAACCACCGAGACCCTCTCGCCTCCCCTCCCCGAGCCCCCATTCACGGTGAGTGCGACTTGACGTGTTTGTGGAGGGGGGTGCGGAATGCTGGTTTTCACACATGTACCTCTTATTTCCTTTTGTGTGTGGGCACGTTTGAAACAGACCCGAGCGGCTTCCCGATCCGACTCCACAGATACGCGAATCTCCAAGTGCTTTATTTCAAAAACTAGGACATAGCACTTTGCAGGAGAAAAATCAGTCCATTCACTATTATTTATGTGATTGCTGATCTTCTGGGTGGGTAGAGAAAGCACCAAGAATTAGAATAACTTATGGAGCAGAGCACTGGTTTACAAACAGATTTCTCAGCCCGAGCTCTCTGGGTTCCTTCGCGTCTCTGGCTCGCTCGGTGCTGTGCGTACGGAGAATACCCAGGATCTGAAGACGGGCCGGGAGAAGGGACGGCATGCATAGCTCAAGTTAAAGGAATAAGTGAGCAGCTATTAGTGGCAGACAGGACATGATCCAGTAAGTAGCACTCTTCATCATTCTGAAATAAAAGTACATAATTGGAAAATGAAGCGGCAGCAACTGGCAGGGTGGGGGGCGGGGGGGGCGGCGGCGAGGAATTAGAAAGTGTAATTTAAAATCATGTAGTCATCCTTCAAAAGGGGCCCCGCTAAAAGGTTTTTAAGTGGTAAATGCTTTAAAGTGACTCGTGGCTGATCCTTTTTCAAGGAACATGGTCCAATTTTCTCAATATTTCTGGATGCCTTCATCACCGGAGCGCATCAGCTCATTGGACTTGGCGGCTAAGCCAGCTGCAGGCCCGGCTCTCCTTCCGCGGACACCCACAGTCAGCGCGGGCGGCCGAGCGTTTGGGGACCTGGCGGGACGGGCTCTGATCCCCCCCACTGGGTTGTGGATTTTTTGCTTTTCCTTTGAGTTCTTCTGTTTATTATTTTATTTTATTTTTATCCTTTATGGCATTTTCAACGACCAACTAGTCAATTGCATATTTTCAGACACAAGCAAAACAAGATACAAAACCACTTGAAAGGTGATTTTTGAGCTTGTGTGGAGGCATGGCTTCCAAACCAGTCCTTGCCAGCCCCTGGCAGCCCCGCACCTGGGCAGCTTTCTGTTAAATGTGAGTTCCCCTGCATTTTGCTTGAGTGCAGGGGAGACGACTTAGGAGAGGTTACTGTGATTTTTCCGTGACATTTTGCAACTAAGTTATCAATAAGAGCCTCAGAGAGCAGTGCCCTCCACGGAGAGGGCTCTGGGCAGCCTGGGTGATGGCTGGGCTGGCCGGCGGGAGGCGCAGGGCTGCTGGCTGCCCCTCCTCGGGTGCAGGGCGGGGAAGAGAAGTGGGAGCAGAGATGGGCTGGGGTCCCGGAGAAGGCGTTCCCGAGCTGGGCTGTCGCGGGGAAGGCTGTTGGCGCAGGTGTTTCTGTGGGGCTCCTGTTTGATAGGCAATTGTCCCCGTGTAGTCATAGCTGATCACCCACGTTCCGGACTCAGGACAACACAACATCGTCCTAGCATCACCAACGTGCCCATGACAGGAAGAGGGTGGCCCTTGGAGGTGGTTGCCTTAAACGAACAGCCTCGAGTTGGCTTTGAAAACGGTGACCTTTATACCCTATAGGACATTTTCAACTCTTGAAATGGGGACACTTTTGAGAGCCAGAGAGGATGCTGGGAATAATGACTGACGGGGCAACAGGCACGGACTAGACTGCCTGGGTGCCCACGTGGGCTCTGGGCAGCCGGGGTCAGGTGGTAGCGGATGCCTCCACGGCCAGGGACCTCGACCTGAGCTCTGCAGGTCGGCAACACCTGGCCGAGCCTCATAGGTTCGTGCACACACTTGGACTGCTTTGGGCTGCTGGACTGGCCCAGGTTTTTTTTTTTTGCAAATCCCTCCCCACCGCCCCTGCTGTTAAGATGATCCGTGTAAGCCAAGGCCCTTCTTAGTCTCTCCTCTGTGGGCCTTTGGCCCATGCTGGCTGGCCTCATAGTTTGGTGGGGCCCCCTCCCTCCACCTCCTCACAACAGGGTTCTGAGCTGCTCTGTTCATCTGTCTGGCTGCCCCTGCTGGGCCATGAGCCCGAGGAGGGTCAGTTTCACATCGATGCCATTTGGGTCCCAAAACAAGGCCTGCCCTGGAGTGGGGTCTGTGGGTGTCTCAGGGCCGATCAGGGTCCCACGGTGCCCCGGGTGAGGGGATGCTGAGAGCTTGCCTAGAAAAACTGGTCTGGTGGTCCTGGCTGTGTCCAGCCTCACATCTGGGGAAGTAGAATAACAGGTGACCCACCGGGTGTGGGTGGGACGGAGGGGCCGGGACTCAGGGTTCCAGGTGGGGAAGCGGGGTTCCTCAGTTCTCTGAAAGTCTCTGCTCAGTTCTCAGAAGCTCCCTGCAGAGCTCCTGGGGTTCATCAGGGCTTTCTAGCCACAGTGAAAAGAGACGTTTAGTGAGCACCTACTGTGTGCTGGGCCCTCAGCCAGCTGCTGCTTCGGGTACCATGTCCCGTGACCCTCAGTGGCCCTGGGAGGGCGATGTTAGCATCTGCATGTTTACAGATGAAAACCGAGATCCGAGCACGTTAAAGCTGCTTAGAATCTGGGCCGAGAGACCCGAGGGCCTGTGCAGCTCCCCTGCCGTTCATCCATCCACGTGTGTGGATCCTTTGGTCTCACGCAGCTCAGGGACAGGGCGAGACTGTGTCGGAGCTTTGGTGAGAGCAGTCCTGGGCAGTTGTGGGTAGAGGTACCTGGCCCAGCCTGGGGAGGTCGATGAGATGTCCCCGAGGCCCCGCGCTGGGAAGCAGGTGTGTGTGTTGGTGCCCAGAGCCCGCCAGGCGAAGGGAACAGCATGTGTGAAGGCTCAGAGGCGGGGTCCTGGTGTGCCAGGGACACCCGGAGTGGTGAGCTTGGCCGGACTGGTGAGGGGAAGTCTGGGATGGACCCGGTCTCCTGAGCTGATGTAAGGAGCCGGGCTTTCCCCGAGGGCAGCGGGATGCCCCTTGGTCAGAGGTATGCTTTGGAACCTTAGCTCTGGAGGGTGTGGCGTCATCCTTGGTGAGGCACAGGGAAGCGCCAGGCAAGGTTGTGGGGCCAATGGAGAGCGGTAGGGCCTGGAGCTGGCCTCTTCCTACATATGAGCTGTCCAGACAGTCGGCGCCTAATAGTGACACTGCTCAGTGCCCTTGTCCCTCTTCCAGAGCCTGGCCTGCCTGCTGGGACGCAGGCAGCTGAGCATGAACAAGGAAGAGGCTGGGGGGGAGGGGTGGATATGGAGGGAGAAAACGCCTGTGACGGAGGGCTTTGAAAAGCGAGCCCTAAAGAGGGAGGAGTTTCCAACCCTGTCACTCGGGGCTGACGGGGCCTTATGGGGGGGCAGGCTCTAGGCTCACTTTATCCCCTCTGTAAGCAATGAGGAAGCAGATGCGCAGAGAGTGCACCTGTCCAGCCTCCCACAGCTCAGCCGCGCCATCTGAAACCGAATTTGAACCCTGCTTCTCCTGATCTCGAAGTCCAGGCTCTTTGCCATTGTGGAAGCTCACCCGTGGCTGAGAACAGTAACAATCAAAGAGAGACCATTATGGATGCTTCCTCTGCCTCAGGGCCTTTGCACTTGCTGTTTCCGCTGCCTGCTCCTCTATCCCCAGGTCTGGGCATGCCTGGCTCCCTCTCAGCATTTGCCTTTGAGGTGACATCATCTCCTCAGACAGTCTTTTCTGTTTATTTTTATTTTTATTTTTAGAGAGAGACAGAAACATTGATGTGAGAAACATTCATCGGTTGCCTCCTGCACGCCCCCTACTGGGGATCGAGCCCGCAACCCGGGCATGTGCCCTGACCAGGAATTGAACCAGGACCTCTCAGTCCATGGGACAACACTCAATCCACTGAGCCACACTGGCCAGGCAAACAGACCTTTCGTGATTATCCAACTTAAGGTGACAGTCCTCTCCCCATCACTCATCTCTCCATCACCTGTTCTACCGCTCCCGGGCACATCTTATCTGAAAGTACCTTTTGTATTTACTTATGTGTTTACTTCACTGCCCCCGGCCCCCAGTTCCTTGAGGGTAGTGACTTACTTGCTTTTTTACTGCTCTCTCTGGCACCAGGAACAGCGGCAGCTCGTGGGGCCGTGGTGAATATGTGCCGAATAAGTAAATGCGTTCATCAGTCCATCCCACCCTCCTCTCTCGTTCCATTTCTCCACCAGAGTCCAGCCAGGACGTGGGGCTTGCTCGAGGTCACTCTGCTGGGCAGAGCCAGGATGGAAGCTGGGCACCCTCCCCAGCGGGCCCCAGCCCCCCTCCCATCGCCCGCATGCTGTGCTGTTTTGTGGACCAGGTGTAAATGCTTCCCGGCTAAAAGCTGTTTGTAGGGAATCGCTGCTCCCCCTCCGTGGATCGGCTGCGTTCTCTGCACGGTGGCTGACGCTGCTGCTGCTCCATAAATATTAAATGGGTATTAAAAGAAGGCTCTGCGTTCCCAGTTCCCCTGATTTCTCCGAGCAGGGCCCATTGCGAACCCCCTTTATGTGAAATGCAGCGTTTCACAGCGGACGCCTCGCTGCCTGCCGCTTCTGGCTGAGTCCCCTGGTGCAGAGCTGGGCTCCCCCGCTTCGGGCACGCAGGGCAAGCAGGCGCCCGCCCCCAGGGCGGGGTGGGTGCAGGCCCCTTGGACCCTCTCTCATAAGGGCTGTGCCCACCTGGCCAGCCTCCTTGCACACTTGTGGGGTGGGAAAGGGGGAGAGGGGTGATGACTCTTTGACCTTTAGCTGAGCCCTCTTGACACCTGCCCTCTGCCAGGCCTGTGCTGGCATCAGGGAAGGAGACTGGCGAGACACTCTGTTCATATATTCCGCCTCCCTCCCTCCCTCCATGCCTCCATCCCTCCCTCCATCCTTCCTTCTGTCTACTCACTAATTCAGTATTTATGAAGTATCTGTGAGAGGCCCTGGGGTGATGATGATGATATAATCATGGTAATAGCTAACATTTATTGGGCACTTACTATGTGCTGGGCTCGGTGATAAGCAGTTTACACGAGCCGCCTCATTTAATCTTCACGACTGTGCGGGTAGGTTCTAGTCGTCTCTCCATGTCCTGGCTGAGGAAGCAGAGCCTCTGGCTGGTTAAGCCACTTACTCAGGGTCCATGAGTCATGGTCCCCGACAGTGGAGCCATGGCAAGGATTCAAAGCAGGGGTGTGTGCGGAGCTGGCATCTGAGAACTTGCAGACAAGCTCCTAGAGCTGCCTCTTTTGCTTGCACCAGACACCCCTGTACCACAAATGCCCCCGTCCTTGGGCAGCTCTGCTCATAGCAGGCCTCCAATACACAAGTATCAAATCGAATATTAGCTGGGCATGCTCAGAATTTCCATTCATTTAACCTGCACAGCTGTCCTGGAAGGTGGCGTTCTTATTTTTAAACGCATTTTCCAAAAGAGGAAGCGGAGGCTCAGAGAGGGTAGGAAGTTGACTTAAGGTCACACAGCAAATCAGTGCAATGCTAGGGCTCAAACCCCTGTGCAGATCTGGACCATTGGAGCCCTGGACCTCGGCGTCTGCTGCCGTAGGCTCCTCCCCAGGCTCCAGACAGGACCGCAGGGCTGGCTCCCACAGGTTGTGTGAGTTCGCTGCAGGACAGCTGACGCCCCCACCTCAGAGACCTGCCCCCCATGTCCACTGGGGGAACCGATTCACTTAGACACAAGTGGGTCCAGTGGGAAACGCAGATTTTTTCCCCCTTGTCTTCCCAAGAGACGAGAACAGAACTGTGCTGTGAATCAGGGTGCGTTTTTTGGGGGAGGAGGGATTAAGGAGAAGGATATTGCTATTTATTGCACCTTGTATGGGCATGATTGTTGAGATTTTAAAAAAAATTAATAATCCATTTCTCCTTTGCATGTAATTAAAATGTTCTCCAGCCTCTAATTTTTGTCATTTTCCTAATCTAATTTGTTTTCTGACTGTGTCGGTTCTTTTTCCATGCGCAAAGCAAAGAGGATTTTTCTTTGTTTGACGTGACTGGGATGTGACTGTCCAGGGCGGTTTCAGTTACGTTCTTTGCTCCTTGGTTAAGTCAGTGCACATGGAGTCATCGGGGGGTCCTAATGACCCAGCCGGAAACAAAACAACATTCGAGTAATTTCTTATTTACACAGTTAAAAAAATAATTGTGGGACAGAGGGGCAGAAATAGATGGCCTTGCGGGGGGGGGGGGGGGGCGGGGAGCGTTGGCGCCCTGTCTGGTGTGTGTGGGGCAGGACCGGCATGTCTCCAGGATTTCACACAGCTGACTTGGAATCAGTCTGAGGGACGTTTCAGTCCAGTATGTACGAATGCAAACCCCACTTTCCAATGAAACAAATAAACAAAAATTGATAGCATCAGGAGCCGAGATTCTAAGTGGATTTGCAGGTGGACAGAATTCCCGAGATCCTTAAAAAGGCACTCGGGAGGGTGTTTTGAAGGGTGGACCCCTGCTCCCCTTCCCCCCCTACGCTGGCCACCCGCTGAGCTGAGCTGGTGCAGGCAATCTGTCTGGGAAAATCCCTTCGCAGGCGCAGCTAACAGATATCTTTGGGCAAAATTGACGTTGAGGAAGGAATGTGCGCCGATGCGGCCCACCTGCTCAGGCCTGCATCCGGGTGGGTGTGGGGCCGTGCGGGAGTGGGTGTGTCTGGGGGCCTGGGGGGGGGGGGGTTGGAAGGGAATCCTTCCTATTCCCCAATACGGAAAAGTGAAACTCACCTTACCTGTTTGCAGAATACCAGCCATTATCCTGCCCATCTCAGGACACCCGGTGGGCTCGGGGGATTTGGTCGAAGGCAAAAAACAACAACACAAAAAAGCCCTAAGTGTTTAAACGTGTTGGACCATGCGTCTATCCATCCACGGCGCTGGGGTTTGTCCCTCCCTCCTTCCCTTTTCTTTTTACCAAAGTATATTCATCAAACTGCTGAGTTGGAAAGATTTGTAATGAGTTTTTGAGCTGTACGACTGTGTTTTTTTCCTCTCTCCCCCCGCCCTCTTTCTAAATCTTCATCTGACATTAAATAAAGCAAATCCCAAACAGATTAACTGTCGCACGGTTCTGCTCCGTCTCCTCAGTCTGTTTCCAGGTCTGGCGCAGGGCCGGGCGGCGGTGGCGGCGGCGGCGGGAGATGCCCAGGCGGCCAGCGGAGGTCCATGTGGCGCGCTAGGTGGGACCCCGGCATCCTGAAGGCAGAGGCCCTGGCCCTCCTGCCCTGCGGCCTGGGCATGGCGTTCTCCCAGTCCCACGTGCTGGCCGCCCGGAGGCACCAGCACAGCCGGCTCGTCATCGAGGTGGACGAGTACAGCTCCAACCCCACCCAAGCCTTCACCTTCTACAACATCAACCAGGGCCGCTTCCAGCCACCGCACGTGCAGATGTAAGTGGGCGGCTCGGGTGGGGCCGGCAGGGACGCGGCTGTGGGTGGCCGGGGGGCGGGGCCACGCACCGGGGGGCCTCCTGGCTTCTGGGACCCACGTGTCACGCTATTGACTGACATCATGCCGGAGCACCGGGGTCACCGAGGCTGGCGGGTGGGCGGGACGAGTGAGAAGTTGCAGAGAGATGCCCTGTGAGCTGACGCTGGCCCAGAGTCCTGTTTCATTTGGCCTGGAGAATGTTTTACAAATATTAAAAAATGATGTGATTGCATATAAAAGCAGACTTCTGGCTTTGCTTTACAAACCCTGAGGACCTGGCAACCCCAGGCCCAGGATGTCCTCCGGCATCCTGGGGGTGGGGGCGCTGAGTTCCAGCTGCCCCCTCGTGGTATTTAGGTTGGAAACCCCTGGTCCAGTTCACATTCCTCATTATACAGGCGGGGAGACTGAGGCCCAGCGAGGGGAAGGGACTTGCCACAGGCCGCAGGGTGGGTTTGAACCCCGTTCTTGGGCTGACTCTCTTCCCTCCCCCCCTTGTCTGTAACCCCCTGCCCCCCCATGCTTCCCTTGAGAAAGCAGAGGTCCTTCAAGGACTGGCGCGCTCTGCCACCTGCCCTTCGGGGCTGATGGGAAACACTCGGGGTGGCAGCAGTGCGGCCAAGGCAGGAGCACGAGCTGGGGCCCTGTGTGCCCGGGCGGGGACCCTTTCCCCTTCCTGGATTTTCGCTGAGGGCCTGAGAGGGATGGGTGGCCCAGGGTGGAGATGGATACATTCCTGGCCCTGCCCGGGGGCTCCCTGTGTTCCTAGAACACCCTCCTCCTCCTTTATCCACACGCTGCCGGGCTTGCCTGGTGAGGACACAGAGGCCCGGGCAGGTGTGAGGCCCGGGCAGGTGTGAGGCCCAGGCAGGTGTGAGGACCGGACAGGTGTGAGGCCCGGACAGATGTGAGGACTGGACAGGTGTGAGGCCCGGGCAGGTGTGAGGCCCGGACAGGTGTGAGGCCCGGACATGTGTGAGGCCCGGACAGGTGTGAGGCCTGGACAGGTGTGAGGCCCGGGCAGGTGTGAGGACCCACGCACGCGCACACAGCAGGTTCGCGTGAGAGCTGGTCCGGGACTAGGCTGCCCGGCCCCGTCCACCGCTCTCTCTGAACTCAGATCCTCTTGGTGTCTGGGGGTCCTGGTGCAGCCCAGGGAGGTCACAGCTGTGACGGGCGTGGTGTCCAGAGCAGGCCCCCCTGATCACCAGGCTGGGTCGCATGGCCCTGGGAGGGCACAGGCCCCAACTTCCTCTAGGGCCATGAGCACCATCTCATAGGTGGGGGTCCTAGAAGCTGGCCCTTTGGGGAGAGCAGAGAACCCAGCAGGCGGACCTCTTAGAGAAGCAGTGTGGGGGTTTCTGAACCCCAGCCTGGAGGTGGGGTGGGTGGAGTGCTGCCTTGTTCCTGTGTGGCTCCCTCGGGACCTGTCCTCCGTTGTGAAGGTGACACAGGGCCCTTCTTCATGGGAGGAAGGCTCGGAAGGCAGACAGGCTGCAGGCCGGGGCGGGCTCCAGCGCATGCTCATTCCAGGGGGCTGCAGGGCTGGCCTTGTCCGTAGGTGCCTGCTTTACTTTTTTGTAGATTCTACTTGGGAAAGTGCCCCTAATTTCATTTTAGGGCCAGTCTGGCGGAGGCCCTGGGTCTCAGGCACGCCATTCTCGGGGCCTCGAGGCCCGCGGGAGGGAGGCCTTCCTGGACCCACCTTGCTCTTTTGTCCATGAGTTGAGGCCTCCGGGGCTGGAAGTGATGGCGCCTGAGGTCCTTGGATGCCGGACTGGACTCCCGCCTCTGGCACAGGGCATGTTTGTGGCTGGTGCAGGACCCGGGCTGGACGTGAGGCCATCATGCGGGAGCTCTCGGTCACAGCACCTGTGCCTGGGCCCGCAGACACCCCGGCAGCCCCCAGTCCCAGGGCACGCTCGGGAAACAGGAAGTCCTCGGAGAACAGGGCCACGGGGCTGAGGAAGGACCCTCTGGAGAAGGTGGCTTCTCGGGTGAGACCCAGAGGAGGATGCGTGGGGGGCAGCAAGTTGGAGAGGGCTGGAAAACGGGGTATGTGAGAACTGCAGAAATGCACAGTGGGGTGGAGGGAGCCCTGCAGGCCAGGCTGTGTCCCTCCGGACAGTGAGTGACCAAATGAAAAAGGGCGATCTCCCCCATTTAACCCACAAGCAAGTGGGGGCCATCCATCCATCCATCCATCCATCCATCCATCCATCCAGGGTGTTTGTGAGCAGCTGTGTAGCACAATGGTTAGAAATGCACGCTCTGAGCTGGCCTGCCTGGGTTTGAATCCCGGCCCTGCCACTTGCTCACAGATCCCTGCCCATGCTGAGCTGACCCCCGATCGGGTGGCAGGCAGCCCACGTGTCACGAGAAGGTGTAATGGCCCATGATACTGGTAGCAAGACGTGCTCCAGGGAAATGCTTCATGGCTGCCTCGTGGTCACTCGGCTGGAGTGGGGGGAGCAGACTCGCGCGGCCCGGCCCTCCTACCCCTCCTGGCCTGCTCCGCGCTGCCGCCTCCTGTGGCCGGGTTCCGGGCTTCCTTTGGCAGCGGGGTTCAGAGGTGGCTGGGGCTTGGACCAGCCCCGGGAGCCCAGGAGGCCCCGGCACTGAGCCCGGTGCCGTGCTCCCCATCCAGTGTTCCCTCGCTGCCTGCTTCAGTCAGCCAGGCTTTGAAACACGACTCTGCACAAAGCTGGACGAGGCCGGGCTGTGCAAGGACTTGGGGGGCTGCTGCCTCCCACCCCCCAGGCCCCGAGCCGGGGGAGCACACGGGCGCCCGAGGTGGCTGTGCGGGTTTCCATGGCGCGTTTCCACAGGGGGAGACACGGGGGACGGATGCCAGTCCCCGACACGTGAGTTATCACCGCCCTGGGCTTTGTCTCCGGGCTGAGGGAGGGAGGGGGCCTTATTTAATAAATCCACAATTTATATTTAATAACAACAGTGACAGCCCAAACGTGGCCTCCGATTGAGCCATGTGATTTATGCCGTTGCCCCCAGAGGCCCTGGCGGTAACGAGGCTGCCTGTGCCTGAGTCATGAATCTCTGCATCTGGGCCTCTGGGTTTCGGGCCCTGAGAACGAAGACCCCAGCCACCGGGCAGCAGGTGGACGTGAGGCCTGATGGTCAGCGAGAAGGCAGGCTGGTGCTGGAGGGACAGGTTACGCTGGGTCGGCCTTACAGGTGTCCCGGGGGCTCGTGCCAGGCACAGCACCTCTACTCTGGCTTTTCAAACATGTCCTGTTGGTGGAGACTCTCGTTTAAAGACCCTCCGCACGTCGGGCTGCGAGGAGTCCTTGAAGAACGTCGGGGGTCAGGGGAGCACGGCTGTGTGCCAGGCCTGGGGTGGCCCTTTGTGTTCCCGGTCCTCCCAGCCGTGCCAGGTTGGCCTACTGATCCCCTCTCTCGAGGCTGAGGCTTCAGAAGGGTGCCTGTGGCCTCCAGCGCCTCCGTGAGCTGAGAGGTCTCTAGGAGGCAGAGCGTGGGCCTGGGGCCCAGGGAGGGGCGAGGGGCAAGGCTGTGGAGTCCTACACCCAGCAGCATCTGCGTCTCCAGCCCCACCCAGCATCCCTGTCCTGGGGCTCCAGGTGCGGTGGCTGCTTCGCTGTCTTGGGCAGCCCATCCTTCTCGCTCAGGCCTTTGCACGTGCTGTTCCCCCCGCCTCCCCGACTCTGCCCTGCTAGCATTGACGCATCCTTCAGGTCCTACTCAGGCGTCACCTCCTCCGGGAAGCCTTCCCCGAGCCCTCCCCAGAGCAGGTTTTTCCTCCTTCCCCGCCCCCGCCCAGCTCTAGCACTCTTCGTCCCCCCCCTCACGGCACACGCTTCATCTGTGGCTGTACATTCATCTCTGGACGATTTCCTAAGCGTCCTCCCCTCCCCCGGCACAGGCTGCTCCCTCCAGCCCAGCACAGTGCCCGGGAAGACGAGGGAGGCGGGATGAGGTGGAGAGTATGGCCCAGGAAGAGCAGCAGATCCAGGAGGGCCTCCTGGGGGAAGTGGCACCACCCCCGGATTTGGAGAATCAGCACAAGCCAAGGCCAAGAGTGGAAGGAAGGGCAGGCTTAGGGTGCAGGAGGGCAGCTTGGAAACACTGTGCAAAAGCACCAGCCTGTTGTGTGACATTGAGCCAACCAGTTCTGCCCCTCCTCTGGGCCTCAGTTTCCCCACTTGTAGAGAGAGAGAGGAAGGGACTAGAGGACTCTCCCTCTCTAACACACCATGGCTGGTGCCTCTCACATGGCTGGACATGTAGTTGGAATCTCGCTTGAAGGGAGGAGTCCTCTGTCCTCTGCCCTGACCTTCAGAGCTCCCCTTCCTCCAGAAATAGGGGTACACGGGGCGGGTGGCTGTGCTTCTGATGCCCTGGGGAGTGTGTGGCACTAGGAGCTGCCTTTTGCAGGGCGCTGATGGCTCACGGGAGAGAGAGAGCCGAGATGGGGACCAGGGCACCGGGACGGGCTGTGGGGGGCATTGCCATCAGGGTTTGGAGCTGTGAAGGTCGTCTGAGTTCTCACAACATCTCCAAGAGTGAGTGGGCTGGAGTGGAGGCCGGGGGGTCCAGGGACCAGCGAGGCGGTCACCGACGTGAGGCGCTGTCCAGGGCTCACCGTTCCCACCGCTCTGATTCCTGGGTGAAGACCCCTCGTTAGGCTGGGGACCGGCTGCGAGGGCCTCAGGTCTCAGGGAGCGAGTACACCTTCTCCCAGGCCCCTGCAGGACATCCCTGGGAAATAACCATTGTGTTGTGTTTTGTGTATCTGTTGTCACAAGCAGGTGTTGAAGTTAGATGCCCGAGTTCCTGTAGTGAAGACGCAGGCTCGAATCTACTCTTTCGCTTACTAGCTGGGGCCTTGGACGTGGGACCAGCTTTTCGGCCACAGTTACTTACGGCTGCTCAGGTGTTAGCAAGGGATTTGCCATGACAAGGCTCAGAAACCCAACTTAAATGGTCTTAAGGGTAAAAGAGAGTTTACTGGCTCACGGAATTAGCTAGGAAGTCCAGTTTTAGATCCAGCTTCAGGCACAGCTGGGTCTAGCCATCAAGTGACGCTGTCAAGCTCTCCCACCCTCTCGTACGCTCTTTCTCTCGCCCGTTCTCCACACCCTGATTCTTCTTGTTCTTTTCCTGGCTTCCAAAAACAGCTGGGTGACTGGGAGCTCCATGAGGTGGCCTCCATGGGTGTCCTGGCCACAGGTATATCCCTTGCACCTAGCAGGTGCCTGTCATGTAAGAGGCACTCAACACGCATTTGTCCCTAGATTGACTGAATGAAATGAGCAAGGACCTGGCAACAGCCTAGCTTGGTGTGAATTCTGGAACCAAACTCCAGTTTCGAAATTTCAGCTCCACTGGCTCCCACCGCAGAGGTCCTAGGCAAGGCAGCTTCTCTGAGCCTCAGTTTCCTCATCTGCAAAAGGAGCACCCCCTTAGTGCCCTGCCCTGTGATGGGTGTGCAGGCGAAGCCAGTGAATGTGCCGAGAGATAATGAGCTCTCCGTTCACGAGAATCATCTACACCATTCCTGTCGTTATGAGCTTGAGCCTTTGTTATAATCCAAATAGCCGGAGGATGGTGCCGGGAAATAAGAGTCTTTATTTTTAATCTGGGGATGAGTAGGTTTGCATCTTCACTCAGCTCAGAAGCCTCAGGGTGGAGAGAAATAAGAACAGAGTTAATTAAAGAGCCTGGGCTCCAGCGCAGGCCCAGCCCAAGTAGGGCCCTCGTGCTGTTCGGGGCTGGCTGAGGCTGGAGGGAGCAGAGGGGCTCCTGGCTAAGGGTCCTCAGGGGGGTTGTGGGGATGCAGGTGGCATCGTGTTCCTTCTCTGTCCCGTCTTTGTCTCTTTGACTTGGCATGCTCACAACTCAGTGTGTGTGTGTGTGAATGAATGAATGAATGAGTGAATTTGATTGGCTCGCTCGTGTTCCTGCGCTAAGCCAATAGCCCGGTAGTGATTGGCTGCCCTTGGTTCAGCCAGCTGTGCTGGGGCAGGCAGGGTGTTCTGGTGTATTCTGTATTCCGAGGAGGTCAGCTACCTGCAAGAGCCTCTGTCTGTCACATGGGGTGGTGGGGAGAGGGCTTGGAGGGACCCAGAGAACAGAGGAGTGGTGGGAATTACCGAGAGGGAGAGTTTAGCTTCTAGACCAGCTCAGGTACCACTTCTTTCTCTGGCCCCCAGCCCCACCGCTTCCCATCAAAGCTGGTGGCCTTATTGTCACGGACTGGCCGAGCCTGTCTCTACATCAGTCTGGGTCTCCCGGCCTGGGATCAGGCGTGGTTCATCCCTGTAGCCCCAGAACTGAGCTCCAAGGCTGGCGCACAGGAGTGGTCAGAAGGCGTTGTGTTGAATGAACAAGTGAATGGATGAATGAATGAATGAATGAATGAACTGGGGAGAGGAGGAGTTCCCAGCATCCTCCTGTTGGTCATCATTGGACTCTGGGAATTTTTCTCTCCTCTTCGGTTGGGCCCAGTGCCGACCTGCTGGGATTCTCACTGGGCTCTGCAGTCCCAGAAAAGGCCCTGGCGTGTCCCTCCTGTCCCGGCGCCGTGGTGGGGAGAGGCTGGCTTGGCGCCTCCGACTGCGGCGGACTGAGCGTGCACATGCGCCCTGCACATTAGCATGCTGAACCCACGTCTCTCGTAAGGTGTTAATTAAATTTCTTTGAAGTATATTGTCTGAAAAAAAAAAGGATAATTAGAAAGATGTCTTTAAAAGTATTTATGTAACTGATATGGTCCTGCTTTTGGTTTGCCGCATAATTAGATTTAAACACAACGAACTCCTCGAGCGGCATACTCATTTGGAGAGAGCTGCTCGCTGAAATGTCATTGCGTTGTTTTTGAGGGTTTTGAGCCTGGTGGAATCACTCAGCTGAGAGGCAGTGGGTGGGCCGGCCCGAGCTGGGGGAGGGAGCTGGGTCTGCATTTACTCCCGGGGTCACGGCCGCCGGCTCAGTGTCCTCACTGTGGGTCCAGAGGGCTGCGAAGCAAGTCCCAGGGAACAGGGACGTAGCGTCTGTGCAGTTCTGTTTAATTTCCTGGGTCTTCTTGCTTTCTGAGGTCGCTCCATTTTATAAACAAGCAAACCAGGGCCAAGCGTTTGTGCTTAAGGCCACACCTGAGTGACAGGTGGCAGAGCAGGGGTTTGGAGGCCTGGTCTGGTTCCAGGACTTTTTCTCACACACCCTCGGTGAGCCTGTGTTCTCAGGAAGGTCAGACCATCTTGTAGTTTTGAAACAGCGCCGCTCTCCTTCGGCCCGCGGACTGCAGAGTCCCAGGTTCGGTTCCTGCCAAGGGCACGTACCTTGGTTGCAGTTTGTCCCCGGCCCTGGTTGGGGTCGTGTGGGTGGCAACCAGTCGATGTATCGCTCTCACATCGATGTTTCTCTCTCTCTCTTCTCCCCTCTCTCCCTCCCCCTCTATCTGAAGATAAAAATGCAAAAATGTTCTCAAGTGAGGATAACAAAAAAAAGGTAAAAAGAAGAAAAAGAAAAAGCCTTGCCCTCATTATCACAAAGCAGGCATACGTACGGTGCCATGGCCCCGTGACCACAGTGTGTTCTCTCCCCCTAGGGTGGACCCGGTACCTCATGATGCCCCCAAGCCGCCCGGCTACACTCGCTTTGTCTGTGTGTCTGACACCCACTCGAGGACAGACCCCATCCAGATGCCCTACGGTGATGTGCTGATCCACGCCGGGGACTTCACGGAGCTGGGGCTCCCGAGCGAGGTGAAGAAGTTCAATGAGTGGCTGGGTAGGTGCTGGGCAGGAGGTGGGCAGGAGGTGGGCAGGTGCTGGGCAGGAGGTGGGCAGGAGGTGGGCAGGAGGTGGACAGGAGGTGGGCAGGTGCTGGGCAGGAGGTGGGCAGGAGGTAGGCAGGAGGTGGGCAGGAGGTGGGCAGGAGGTGGGCAGGAGGTAGGCAGGTGCTGGGCAGGAGGTGAGCAGGAGGTGGGCAGGAGGTGGGCAGGAGGTAGGCAGGTGGTGGGCAGGTGGTGGGCAGGAGGTGGGCAGGAGGTGGGCAGGAGGTGGGCAGGAGGTGGGCAGGAGGTGGGCAGGAGGTGGGCAGGAGGTGGGCAGGTGCTGGGCAGGAGGTGGGCAGGAGGTGGGCAGGAGGTGGGCAGGTGCTGGGCAGGAGGTGGGCAGGAGGTGGGCAGGTGCTGGGCAGGTACTGGGCAGGAGGTAGGCAGGAGGGGGGCAGGAGGTAGGTAGGTGCTGGGCAGGAGGTGGGCAGGAGGTGGGCAGGAGGTGGGCAGGAGGTGGGCAGGAGGTGGCAGGGGTGGGCAGGAGTTGGGTAGGAGGTGGGCAGGAGGTGGGCAGGAGGTGGGCAGGTGGTGGGCAGGAGGTGGGCAGGAGGTGGGCAGGTGGTGGGCAGGAGGTGGGCAGGAGGTGGGTAGGTGCTGGGCAGGAGGTGGGCAGGAGGTAGGCAGGAGGTGGGCAGGAGGTGGGTAGGTGCTGGGCAGGAGGTGGGCAGGAGGTGGGCAGGAGGTGGGCAGGAGGTGGGCAGGAGGTGGGCAGGAGGTGGGCAGGAGGTGAGCAGGAGGTGGGCAGGAGGTGGGCAGGAGGTGGGCAGGAGGTGGGCAGGAGGTGGGCAGGTGGTGGGCAGGAGGTGGGCAGGAGGTGGGCAGGAGGTGGGCAGGAGGTGGGCAGGAGGTGGGCAGGTGCTGGGCAGGAGGTGAGCAGGAGGTGGGCAGGAGGTGGGCAGGAGGTGAGCAGGAGGTGGGCAGGAGGTGGGTAGGTGCTGGGCAGGAGGTGGGCAGGAGGTGGGCAGGAGGTGGGCAGGTGCTGGGCAGGAGGTGAGCAGGAGGTGGGCAGGAGGTGGGCAGGAGGTGGGCAGGAGGTGGGTAGGTGCTGGGCAGGAGGTGAGCAGGAGGTGGGCAGGAGGTGGGCAGGAGGTGGGCAGGAGGTAGGCAGGTGCTGGGCAGGTGCTGGGCAGGTACTGGGCAGGAGGTAGGCTTCTGCCAATGTCTAGGCCTTTAGCTGCTCCTGTGCCCAGCCATTTTTTCTCCCTGCTCTGCCCACTGCCCCTGCCCAGCCTTGTCTGCCTGTCCACCCCCAACCCCAGGAAGCCTTCCCTGACCTTCGGACCGGTTCACAGCTCTCCTACCCCAGCCCTCGTCTTAGCTGTGACTCTCCATTTGTTTGTGGGATTTTGGGCCCAGGCGACCCCCTCCCAAAGGGCGTTTTTCCCAGGTGGGTCTTTGTCTCGTGCTACCCAGCCCCCAGTGCCTGGCACAGGTAGGTGCTAAGTAAATACTGGCTGGGTGAGTGAATGACTGAACGACTGGGAACGGTGGTGCAGGGCAGGTCCTCAGCGGGCACAGCCCGGCCCAGCCACCGACCGCATCAGGATGGCTTCCCCAGCACGGGGACCCCGGGCCTCTGCGGCCTACAGCAGCTCCCGAGAGCGGCTGTTGGCGCAGGGGCGGGGGAAGCTGTCCGCTGTGGTGGGCCACGATTTGCCAACATGCCCCAGGGTTTTGTCTTTGGCTTTTTACTCTCTTCCTAGCTAAGAAAGACACAGACCTGGGTGCCCCCTGGGAAAAGCTGCTTGCTTGGAATCCGGAGAGACTCCGCTGCAAGTGGTCTGTGCACAGCCCTGGGGTGGGGACAGATGGGCTGCCCCTGGGCCGCCCTCCTGCCGGCCTGCTGTCTCAGAGGCGTGGGTGCAGGGCTGGCCACCTGCCTGCGCAGCCCCACGCTCCTGCCAGACAGCCCGCCCCCGCGGCGTGTCCACCGTGCAGTTGGCTGGGAGCTGCGTGAGCAGAGGGGCCAGGAGTGAGGCCAGAGCGAGAGCCCGGCTTTGCCAGCGGAGACAAGTATTTACAAACAAGGCCCTTCCTCTCCACCTGGCGGGCTCTGAGCTTCAAATATTGATCTTTCGAATGGGAAATTCTCATCAAGAGCCCCTTTGGGGCTGGACCTCGCGAAGGCGGGGGTGGGACAGGCCTGCAGGGTGGGCCTGCCCCAGGCTTCTCACCTTGCGGGGCGCTGCCTTGGGGACCCCGTCTGAGCCTGGCTTCCTATCCTTAGAAGACGGGAGGCGGCACTTGGCTGAGCCAGGCCCTGTCCAAGGCAAACAGCAGGAGTCGCTGTCGCCCAGGTGCTGCTGCGCCCAGCGCGGTGTGGCAGGCTCCTTCCTGCCACTGTCGGTTGAATTTTGGAAACAGCTCCTTGCGGTGGTTGCTGTTCAGGTCCCCACTGGACAGAAGAGGATGTCAGACCTCCAACCCCCTGCACTGAGGCTTAAGGGTGGGGACCGTTCCGGATGTACCCGGCCCATGTCGGCTCCCCTTGCATGCGTAGTGGGGGTGGGTTCCAAGTGCCGTGGGATCTCGGTGCGGGGACTGACGACAGCTTTCTCCCAGCTGGGGAGGGCCTCTGGGAGGAGCTGACTCTGGGCTGGGATTTTGTGCAGAAACGGTGCCACTGGGCCGAGGGGACAGCTGAGGGCAACATGTGGACACTTGAGGGCAGGCGTGATGCGGTGTGGCTGGAGTCAGCGGTTTGGGCCTGGACAGAGGGGCGGGGCCTGACCAGAGTCCCGAGGGGCTGGCGGAGCGAGCTGGGCACGTCAGGACAGTCTCGTCAGCTGCCTCTTAACAAGTCGGAACGGTGTCCACGGGGACTTGGGGCCCTTCTGCCTCATCTGCGCTTGGAGCTGGGTTGACTTATTTGCCTGAGCTCTTGGGGGTGGGAAGTGTGAGCCCACCAGGGGGTCTTCCTTTCACAGCCGGTTCCTTCCCCCTGGGCCGCTCCCCTTTGCTGCGATGAGGTGTTTGCAGACGTCATTGCTTGTCCCGGGCTGAGCAGCTAGGGCTTGCACGCCAGTGAGGGCATCGGTAGCCGCCGCCGTCTGGAAGTCGTCTGCAGCTGGCTTTTGGGGGCTCGTCCACTGCCCAGTGAGACTCGGCTCTGAGGGCCAGCTGTTCAGGGGTCCGGCGATGTGGCCGTCATGGCAGCGGCAGCACGTGCAGGTGCACCCGGACAGGTGCGCTTTTGTGGAGCTCGTGTTTGCTGAGCGTAGTGGCTTCCTGACTTTTAGGCCGGTCTGTGCCCTTTTAGTACATTATTAAATCAGTTCCTCCTCCTGACAGCAGAAGGAGGCAGGACTGTCGTCATTCCCGTTGACATAGGAGAAAACGGAGGCCCAGAGAAGGGGAGTGACCTGCCCAGGGCCACACAGCGAGGAAGTGGTAGAGCTGGGGTTCAAACCCCGGCAGTCAGACTCGGGCTGAGCTCTTGGCGTGTCCTCTTGTTCTTAGGGCGAATCCTCTCCGGTTCAGACTGACGGCGTGGAGTGTGCTGTTTGGGTCCTGACGCCCGGGGTCTGCTCCCTGCCTGGGTGACGGTGGCCGTCCATGGCCTCTGTGAACTTCAGTGGCCTCGTTTTAAATGGGGGTGGGCTGGTCCCCTTGCCCTGCCTGCCTCTCCACAGGTGGTTTTGAGGCTCCGCCGGGCTGGAGGGAATGATTACGTTTTATAGACTGCAAAGTGCCATGTGGATGCTATTATTGCCTCTGTGAGCTGGCATTTCCCCGACCACGGCTCCCCTTGGGCAGGGTTCTGGGGCTGGTCCCACAGAGGTGGGGGATTTGACTCAAGCCTAGAGGTGGTGCAGGTAGGGAGACCAGCAGAAGAGGCTGTGCGTAAGGGCGTGTGGAGTTTTTGAAATGTTGTTGTGTGATCTTAGCTCTGTCAACAGCACACACACCCACACACACAGAAAAAACGGGAAGGAAATACTCATCCCTTCCGTATACCTCACTGAGAACTTCTGTGTGCCTGGCATGTCCCAGGCACTGGGGTGACAGTGGGGAGAGGGACAGGTGCTGCTCACATTCTGGTCATGGCCGGATAGACACCCAAGAAGCAATAGGAGTCGTTTGTGGAGCATCAGCCCTGGACACGTGATGGCGACCGGGTGCGATCACGGAGGCCCTCCCTGAGGAGGTGCCCTCGGGGGAGGCATGGAGGGTCGAGTGAGGCAGGGATCGGAGGACCGTTCCAGGGTGAGGGCACGGCAGCTGGGATGGGAAGGGCTGAGGGAGGAGGCCTGGGAGGTGATGCCGGCTTGTACGGGCCCTGTGGGCCCAGCGCAGGAGTGTGGGTTGGTTCCAGGTATGATGGGCGCTTTGTGAAGTTTACGTAGGGAGGGACCTTTATTTTATTTTATTTTTTTATCCTCACCCGAGGACATTTTTCCATTTTTTGTTCAGATAGAGTGGGAGAGAGAGAGACAGAGAGAGAAACATCGACATGAAAGGGCCACATCGAGTGGCTGCCACCCGCACGACCCAACCAGGGCCGGGGACAAACTGCAACCGAGGTACGTGCCCCTAGCGGGAACCGAACCCGGGTCTCTCTGGACCGCAGGCCGACGCTCTAACTGCTGAGCCAAACCGGCCAGGGCAGGGAGGGACCTTTAAAGAGGAGATCGAAGGCCTGGGCTGCAGCGAGGCCAGAGAGGGTAAAGGCTCCGCAGTTCCAGAATTCATGTCTGGGTGGTGGACCCTGAGAGGTTTTATCTTCTTTTTTATGTTCTCTCCTCCCTTTACTCCATATACATATATATATATACATATTATATATGTATATATATATATATATTTTTTTTTTTCCCGAAAAGCGTGTGTTATTTTAGTAGCATCAAATAAAAGCAACACTACAATCTCATTGTTTTCAATGAAATGTTGGCCTCTCTGGTGTCTGGTGCCACAGTCCCAGCATGGGGATGGGGGCAGGGCTGACCTTAGG